TTTATTAAAAGGCTATTTATATCCCTTTTATATTTATATTATAATATAAAATTATAAGGGTATATTATAATAATCCCTATATAGGCTATTTTAATTATAGGTGTATTATTAAGCTACTTAAATATAAATTTTAATAAAAAAATCTTAATAAAAAAGCGCGAGAGTATATTAAAAAGTATTTTTTATATTAAAAGTCCAAGGCTTTATAATAGCTAGCCCAAGGCTAGCTTATTTTTTTATTAGTTTTAAATATATTATAAAAAGATTTTTTTATAAACTTTATTATTAGCCTACTTTTATTAAAGTATAAAGGCCGCGTGTATAATATAATATTAGTAATAATAAATTATTTTAGTAAAAAAGTAAAATATATTTTTACTACTTAAAAAGTTAATACTAAAAAGCTAGTTAATAAGTTTATTAAAAAAATAATATATAATACAAGGGCGCCTAAAAGCCTAGTTATTAATTAAGGCTTATTATTTATTTTAGGTTATTAGTAATTATTTTATTAAATATTATAAATTAAAAAACGCCTTAATACTGCATATTATTTATAATTAAATAATTAAATTAAATAATAAAATTAAATACTTAAAATATACTTATATATTTATTATAACTTTTAATAAAATAACTAGGTTATATTTTTACTAGCTATATTATTTACCTATAATAATTTAAAGCATAATATAACTAGGTACGCACCCTAAATAGCCTTACATAGTTAAAAACTTATTATTTTTTTACTAAAAAATTATAAAAAAAAATATTATATTTTTTATTAAAAAATAAACTTTATTAATTATAAAAGTTACAGGATAAATTATAAAATTATATAAATAAGGCTTAAAAAAAGTAAGCCCTTTATTATAATAAAAAGCATACCCTTATTAAATTTAAGATTAAGAATAATATTTTACTATTACTATATAATATTCAAATAATCTAGCTAAGTAAAAAAACTTAACTAAAAGTTTAATAATTTTTTTAAAATTATTAAACTTATTAAAAAGCAGGTATATTAGCTTTAGCTTACTAGTTATTATACTTAGTTAAAAATTTATTTAATATTTTATATATTTTTACTAAGGCCTTACACTAAGTAACCTAAATTTAAAAAAAATAAAAAAAATACCTAATATAAAACTTATTAATAAAAAGCAAGAATAAAAAGTTAAAGCTATTTTTACTAAATAACATGCTTATAAATTAAACTAGTTTTTAATTAAATAAAAAGGCTAGTCTAGCTATAAAAACTTATAAAAACCCCTTAAAAATTTTAAGTATATATAAAAGGCTTTAAAAAACTATTATAAACTAGCTAAAATAATACTAAAATACCCTTAATTTAAAAAAAGTAGTAATAATTTTTTATTTACTAGGTTTTTATATTACTAAAGCTAAAAAACTAGTAAAATGGTTACCTTTTTTTTATATTTTAAAAAATTTAAAGGTTTAATAAACTATTATTATAAATAAAATATTTTTTAATAAAATTTAGACTACCTATGGCCCTAAAAATAATATTAAACTTATATATTAAAAACTTAAGTAAAAATAATTACCTTTTTTTTTATTTTATATAGTTTTAAGGTTTAATAAACTATAACCTAAATAGCTTTAAACTACTAAAATTTATAAGTTATATTTATAAAAATATATTAAAAAAAAAGAGTTTTTTTTTTAAAAATAAAAAATAAATAAAATATTAAAGTAATACTAGGCTACTAACCTAAATAGCTAGCTATATATTAAAGGCATAAATAAATATAAAACCTTAAAAATGGGTATAAATAAAAATATAAAGCTTTTAAAAAGTAAAATTTAAAATTATTATAATATTAAAATTAGTTATATTAAATATATTTTTATTATATATTTTTTAATACCCTTTATTAAAAGCGGCTAAAGTCTTGCCAGTAAATAAGCAAAGCTTATTAATAAGTATAAAAATAATATAATATAAGTTATTTATAAATTAAACTTTTACTAGCATCTTATTAAAAGCCTTAGTAATATTTTTCACGTGTTTATTAAATATTTTTTATATATTTATATATTTTTTTAAGCTTTTATTAGCAAGCAAGTATTATAAAATATTAATATTATTATATATATAAACAGGGATAGGCTTGTACTTATTATTATTATTATAATATTAAATATATGCTAACCCTAGACCCTAAAAAATATAATTATAATAAGGCTTATAAAAGTTTTTTTTAGGGAATATTACTAGTTTATTACTAGTAGTAAGAATTTATTAACTATTTATATTTTTTATTTTTTTATTATTATGGAAAATTACCTTAGTATATTTAAGGTATATTTAAAAGCTATTAGCTATTTATACTAAAAGCTATTTAAAAGGGGATAAAAAAAACTTACCTTTATTAAAAGGGCAGGGCCGGTTATAATAAAAGTAAAAAAAGTTAAAGTAAAAAAAATAAAATTAAAAAAGGTAATTATAAAGGGCGCGGTATTACTAGTATTATTATTATTATTATTATTATTATTATTATTATTATTATTATTATTTAGGATATTTTTATCTAAAATGCTTAATAAGTAAAAAAAGGAATTAAAAAATATATTATTAGGCTTAAAAAGCCTGTAATAATTATATATATTATTTATAAGCTAATTAACAGCAGCCCGGCGGGGGATAAAAAATAGTAATAAAATAAATTACTAGTTTTAATAAGTTTTAAGTTAACATGCTTTAATACTAATATACTATTATTAAAATACCTTTAAATAAGTTATTATAAAAAAAAATACTTATTATTAAAGTAAAACCCTGCATATAAATATAGGCTAAAAAAAAATTATTTTTAAAATTAGTAAAATAAAAAGGTATTATTTATAATTAGCTATTTACTATTACTTAAAAAAAAGTCTTAAAAACTTTATTTAAAATTATTTAAGGGATTTACCACTAGGAAAGTAACTAGGTAAGTAATTAAAAAAAGGTAATTTTTAAAAGCAGGGGCCCCTTAAGGTTTTATTTAAATTTTATTTTTTTTAATTTTTAGTAAAAAAAGCTATTAACCATGCTTTTTTAATATTAATAAAGCGTAGCGTTATATTAAAAAAAAAATTTATTTAGGTATAATTAAAATAAAAAATAAGGTAAAAAGGTAAAATAAAAGCTAAAATAAAGTTATATAGTTTAGTTATATAAAAGTAATTTAAGGTTTAAAGTTTTAAAAAAACTAGACTTAGGTTAAATTAATAAAAAAGCTATTTTTATAGTTAGGTGCCTTTTTAAAAGTAAATAAATAATAAGGTATTTTAAATAAAATATTAAATATTATTTAATATCTTAAACCAAGAATAATAAATAATAAAAATAGTAATAATAAAAAACACTATTATATTATAATATAATAATAAGTTAGTATTATAAATTACTTATTTATTATTTTTTTAAAATAACTAGTGCTGGATTATAAATAATCCATTTTTTTAAAAAGGGAGAAATTATTAGGGCTAATATTAATTTAGGTTATATTATTAAGTAATACTTAAGGCACCTAGGTCACGCCACTATAAAATATTAATATTACTTATATAAGATGCTTTAGGTACTTATTTAGCTTAGTAAATTTTATTATTAAAAATTATTATATAAAACTTAATATAATATTAAATTTAATATAATATTAAATTTAATATAGTATTAGCTTTAACTAGGAACCTTAGCTTAAAAACCTTAAATTTTAAGTATTATTTAAGTAATAAAATAAAGACATGCCTTATATTAAATTACCTTAATAATTAAAAAATAATTATAAGGGGCGTAAAAGTAAAAATATTTAAATATTACCTATTTTTTAAATAAAAATAACTTAAAAAATTACTTAAAGGCCTTAGGCCTTTAAGCAAGGCCTATATAAAAAAGCTAAAAATTATAATATATTTAATTTTTTAAGTAATCCTTTTAGTTAAATTTATTAAGGTTTTAAATACTTTATTCTTATTAGTTAAAAATACTTTACCAAGTTTTATTATTATTAGTAAAGAACATTTAGGTGCTAGGGCGCCCTTACATTTTAATTATTTAAACTTAACTAATTAAATTTATTAATATTATTATTAACTGCTTGCTAACTGCTTGGCAAGCAGTTTTTACTTTAAATATTATTTTTATTATTTAACTTAACTAATTAAATTTATTAATATTATTATTAACTGCTTGCCAAGCAGTTGGCAAGCAGTTTTTATTTTAAATATTATTTTTATTATTTAAACTTAATTAATTAAATTTATTAAGATTATTATTAACTGCTTGCTAACTGCTTGCTAAGCGCTTACTAACTGCTTACTAAGTATATATTATTTTTTTTTTATAAAATAAATAAATAAAAATTATAATAAATTACTATACTATATTATAATAGGTTAAATACGTGGTAATTTATTTTTTTCGTGATATTACACGTGACTGCCAAGACTTAAAGATTACGTAACGAAGGCTCATGTGAGCGTTCGGAATGTCCCAGGTCACCTCAACCCTCCTTCATTTGAGACCATCCCCGCCTCGTGCATTGTATAGATGGCTCGCCCAACAGCTTCCAGTGTAGCATGGGCCCTTGCGAGCTTTGTCCAAAGCCCACGGTAGTCTAAGGGAGCACGTCAAGGAATCCAGGATTGCAGGAAAGCTGAGCGGAATTTCGCAAACTTTGGCGTTTTGAGTCTTCGCGGCCTTGGTCTTTGTTGGGCTTCACCGATAGTCCTCTCCATGATCACCCGCTTAAAACAGTCGAGGAAACCCTTGCTGGGTCACGGGGCGATGTGATGCTCCGGGCCAGCCTGTATCATTTTATCTTGCCGTTGGGGAAGAGGGGTCGGGCATTCCGTAAAGACGCAGCAATGGTTCTCACACGCCGAGTTTGTATCAGCATCTTTACTGTAGTCTGTCAACGGGACACTTATGAAATTAGTTGGTCTATGGACTTGAGTGAAGACATACCTACAACCGTCGCCGATCCAGTTTACCTATCTTTTTGCTCATCAACCCAGTTTGTTTGCCGCTCAAAATCCTCCCTCTCTTTACCTACCATGGATTTGAGACCCGTTTCGCGCAGCTCAGTAAACAGCGTGAGGGCATCACCATAGCGGTCGTTCGGGGTCCAGCCATCACGAGAAACAATGAATGACACCGACTCCCAAAAGTCTTGAACTTCATTCCACCCGTCACCCTCTTCTGCATGGAGACGCAGCTCGTCCTCGGTGAAGTGAATCGGACAAGGACCTTCGAGGCCCATTTCGCCCCAGTATCTGGATGTATTTAGAAAGATTTGGTAAAAGACGGTCTTGCGGTTGGATTTACTTACCTCTCCATTCGGATCAGTGATTCTCTAAGTGGCAGGATATCATCCTCCCACGTATCACCAGCAAAGTTTATCGCATCACACCTTGTCCGACCGTGAGGATAACGGATGACCTTGTCCAGCAGCGGGACCTCCTTGGCGATTTTCTTCTCATAGAGGTACAGAATGATGGACTTGCTCATCCGGGCCCTGATTGCTCGCTTCTCCTCCGGCGGTAGTTCGTTGAAATCGGCAGGCGGCTGGAGGATAATATCCCCGCTGTAAGCGACAAGCCGTGGGTGGCGTCCTAGAAATAGAAACGGCGCAGCCCATGTCTCTTGCCAATCTATTACGCTAGAGATTCGACCGTTTTGAACAAAGATGTTCGCTGAATGGAGGTCGTTATGCCATAGGTGAGGCGCGACAACATCGGGGTCGCTGGGGAAGAGATACGGAGCAACTTTCAGATACCGCTCGAGCAGTGATATGTGGCGGCTAGGCGAGTTTTGTGATGCAGAAGTCACCAGAGGGTCATCCGCTGGCTTGGGAACAGCGTACTTTCTGATCCAGTCCAGCTCCCGACGCCCGACGGACGTGGCAAAATCAGCCGGGTGTTGCCCTAGACAAGTTAGCAGCGCTTTGGGGATTCCAGTTTGTAGTGCGTACATGGGCCACGGTCAACATTCATTGCCGACCGCTCCTTGTGCCAGTAAGCTCTTTCTGCCACTGGACCGATCACGAATCGGTGCGTCACACTCCTTTTGACTTCGATCGGCAGGTCGCCACTGATCTCAACTGGGACAGCTTTTTCTACACCGTCATCCGCATAGTACAGATTACCGTACCTTTGCCTCCATTAGCGCCGCACTTGCGAGACCAGCCGAGAAGCAACCCACCTATTGAACGAGACGGACGCCATCTTTTTCTGCAGGACGACGAGATCTTTCATGACTGCGGCCTTTTCCTCCAGTGAAAGGCCTTCCCATACATCATCCAACTTGGTACCAGGAGCCTCTTCCATAATGATGTACTCAGAAGCCACTGGATCACTGTCATCGGCGCTCCAAGCGAATACTCGCGGCACTGGGATCTGCAGGATGGTCCGAGCCTAGAGTTTTGTTAGCTCGATGAACGGGAACCCAACGCAATCCTTACAAAATCCATTGTCGCGACCTCGGAAGCTGTCATGTAGTATCGAGGACCGGCGATGGGATGAGGAATCCGAGCGATCGCTGTGGCGCCATTGTTCATGGTCAGCCTGAATGTTTTATTGTACGAGCCTTCGGCCAATTTGATGATCCCAGTGCAGTGGTCTGCCCCAACACTCCTTGCAGCAACATTCTGCAGTTCGGAGACATTGAAAGGCGAGAAACGATCCCGGAGTTGCTGTTCTTCATCCCAGAGCCAGCGGCCGCTCGTATACCGGAACAGGTCTGAACTCATCGAGCGAGTCGATGACTTTGGCAAGTGAGCCGCCGACCGCGCACTCCAGCCGCGAGCTTTTACAGACTGGATGGATATCAAGCGACTGCAGGTGATAGCGATGCTCATTTCCGTGAGCTAGCAAGTGGGTGCAAGGACGGAAAGTGAGCTCGACGGCTGGACGCCTTTGGAGGCCGGACCGGGGCCTTGTTTTACCGAAGGATGACTAATCCACGTTACAAAGCACAGGCGATGACAAATCCATTGGCACATCGTGGTGGTTACAAGTAGGTACTGAAGAGAACTGAGAACAAGAAAGAATCACTCCGTCTTATCAAACGCATCGAACAAATCCTTCTCGGCCTTCTCCTCATCCGGGTTCTCTGGGTCAACGACAATTGTGGCCCAAATCTTGTGACTATCCTCAGCCGCCGCTGCCTTTACTCCCGGGTGCGAAGCGTTCTTGTTCGCCTGAAGAACCAATTGATGCTTGCCGTCCACCACCGAGCCCTTGTCAATCCGCAGATTCTCCTTTGCATCATTCTTGGGCGTTCTGCTGGGGTAGAGGCGTTGGCCTCGCTCGGTGTTTGCCGCCTTCTTGATGACTTTGCTCCAAGGGACACCCTTGGCAAACTCCTTGACGACTTTGCCGGAGAACTTGCTCATTGTGGCTGTCTAGGTTAGGAGAAGGTCTTGTTTGTACGGAGTATTGAGGATCGCTGGCTCATACCTGGCCTGTTTTCGATCTGTCTGCCTTTTGGTCACCGGGATTGGTACCTAGAAGGGTATCTTTATCGTGATATTGGTGTTGGAAAGGAGTCCGCATTGCTTTCTTGAAAGGAAGATGCCTGAACTTATATTAAACCACGGCGCCAATTGCTCAATTACTGCAGCCAATCCAGTAGTGGCTGTCCCGGTCTTCTGGATAGAAATGCATGTTCCTTGTGTGTGACCAACATCACACTGGATCCTGTGGCCAGCAATGCTCGATGGAGCGAGCTTACGGCGTCAAGGCAGAACTCACGCAAAGGGGCCTCCTGCTGTGCCATTTTGCGCCAAGCAACGCCAGCCTAGCAGCAATGCTAAGCGCCAGCATATGGGTTAGACTAAGCGATTGGTTAACATCATAAATTAATTTCAGAACATCCCTAGTGCTGGCTTGGCCCAGCTAGCGGCAATCGGAGCCTCATGTCCGCACTCCCTGACTTTGACTCTCGTAGGTAAGGTTGTGAGGGCGTTATCTGACTTGGCGAGCGTCAAGCGGATCTCCTTATGGACACCCGTTGGAAAAAGGACAAAATAATTGGATGTTGGACTGAAAGCGAATGCTTATTTAGTGAATTGCTTGGTTTATCTTACATTGGGAGCATACGAGTGCGCATGGCCCCTCTATAGGTATTAGTTAGCACTGCCACTTCGCCGGCGTATGACCATAGCCGCTACGCTTTGGCCGTTGACCTCAAGCCGCATGGACATGGAAAGCCTGGTCATGCTGCTGTCCGTGCTATATCATTCATGAAGGCAGAAACGCAAGGCCGGACAGAGCCCTGATGGGAGAATGGCTGCCAAACCCACTAGGATGGCTTTGTCTCAGTTGGGATGAACTCTATCAAGCCAAGTTTGCCATAGGATTGCGGGCGCATCCGAGTGGCCTTTGCTTATGGTATGGATTGCCTCAACCAAGTATATCCTGTCCTACTCCATCGGCTCCTACACGGAGCATTGGCATCCGCGAAGGAAAGTGGTACCCGAAAAGGCGGAATGCCCTGGCTTATCTTCTCCGTGGTCCCTTCAACCAGTGCTGCATTTCTAGTGTCCTTGTATGATTTCCCAAAAAGTCTCCACTCACAAAATTCTGGCTGTTCAAGCTAAAAGATGGGAAGTCTGTATTCGATCCGTCTTTACCAAGCTGTTCTCCGGGATGCTTCACTTGATCTCCCTATATACAAATCCCGAGCAAGCTTGCCTTGTCTGCACGCTTTTGACAAAGCCACCAATCATCCTGCCCATCTATTTATGATAACAAGGTATCCGTAGCAGGAGATGAATGCGGAGGTCAACAAAGTCTACGCGGAGAGATAGTCTTCGAGGACATGAAGCATGGATGGCGGAGGCAGATTGAAGCGGACCTCGCCACGGACCGTTGGAATCTGAGATATCGTTGTGACTACTATAGTGGTGTTTCGGTTCTGGTGGTTCGCCCATACCTATGCTCTGGGTGACTATGATAAAGGCCTTATAGTACTCCCCGTGGACTCTTCTAGTCTAGAGGACCATTCTTCAAGCATCTCCTCTCGCCAGCCCCAGGCTAAAGCAAAAGTAGCACCAGGGCCCAAAGCAAGAGTCGTACTTATCAAGGCGCCGAGGATTCTCCACCACGGCGTCTCCATCCCAAGCAGTCTGAGCTCGTCAATCCGCAGTACAAGCCATAGCATACCAGATCCCAGCCCAAAGATCCGATCGAGATGCGCAAGTCTCGCGAGGAAGTGAAGAAAGGGGGAGCCTGAAGAGTCTCTGGGCATTCCGCCAGGGAAAGGGGGTTCAAGGGGACAGGCCACCGTCTGCTTTGTCAACCGGGTATATAAGAAGCCCAGAGCTGCAATAGCTGCTGACGTTCCATAAGCCCAGCGGAGAAGAACGAGCTTCTTCCTTTTCTCGATAGAGTGTTGATACCTGAGCTTCTCGGTTGGACTCGAAACGCGACCGACAAGAAAAGCAATGATCACCACGGCACATCCCAGGAACACCGCATTCGACGGTTGATGTTTGTCAATGTTCGGGTGGGATGCGTCATAAGCAATAGCAAGCAATAGCAAGCAATAGCAAGCAATACCCGGTTAGCATGACCGGATGGAACACCCGCAGCGCTTCAGCCCTGATGGATTGTTGACGGCCCAGTACGAGCCTAGACAAGGGCATGCGAATGTAATGCACGGCACAGCACACAGGCCATGTATTCCCAGTTCCTTTGAGATGCATTGCGATCCACAAGCCCACTGCACTGTATGCATGGAGAGTGATCAGCTTCGCATTCTTAGTGGACTTAAACCAAAGGAAAAGAACACACAGCAGAAGGTCACTCCTGGTGCACGCTTCGCGACAAGCCTCTAGAAACCATATTCCGTATACCGGGGTTAGTTGGGAGGGAAGAAGCATCCTCGCAAGACCAGATACGGTAACGCCTTCCGTTGTGGAGGGAATATCCTGAGCGCTCCATGATGTGAGTCGATTTCCGGGAAGCAAGTTGGTCTCCCCATTAGCAGACAAGTAATACAGACAGACAAACAGAGCAGTGGCCAAGAGGCGCCTCCATATGAATAGGCCACGAATGCGATCGTAGCCCGGAATATACGGCATGGAGCAGGACATTGAGGATAACGGCAGCGGGAGGAAATCGAGCTTTTCAGCCCCGATCATGGCCTGAGACGCTTGGTCCACGATCAACGATTCGGTGATTGGCAGGACGTAATGCGCCACGATGCGGTGGATCGGGGTTGCGAGCGCCTCCAGCCGGGTCAGAGCACTGGCTGCGGCGCACATCTGGCTGACTCGAGGCCATCTGCCTGTCTGCCATTCGAGGAGGTGCCGCTCCAGCCGGCTCAATGGGATTTTACCGCCGGGAAACGCTTGCTTTAGTTGGCGGAGGTGATTAGCTAGAAGCGCGGCGCTCTCGATGGCGCTGTTGGCACCTTGTCCGAGGTTTGGAGTCATCTGGCGCCATTAGAGTCAATAACCAGGATACTTGAGGCGAGACCGGTCAGGGATGTATACCTTGTGGATGGAGTCCCCAATGCAGACAATACGGCCAGTCCACCACCTAGTGAAGCAAGCTTCCTCCAGCGCAAGCAGGGTCTTGAACATCGCATTGGAATAGACGGCGGAGAATGGAACTCCGTTCGCAACTGCTTGGCTCAGATAGGGCGACACATGGGCATCAACCTGTTTCTGGTCAAATCTCGGGACGTTGTCCGCCGGGTACCGTTTGGCCAGCCTGTGAAAGAGGAACCAGAAGATTATACCGTCCTTGCCACATATTGTCAGGAAGGAAAAGTCTTTGGCGAAGGTGCGATGGATCTCTCCTGGCGATAGACCGGCTGTCGGGGTTGAGGTGCCAAACACGCAGGCATACTCGGAAGTCATCACTAGGCATTGTCAATAACAAAGCAGATACAATCACCGGTTTCAGTCAGGAAAGGCAACATACAACTCCGCTCCTTGGATGCTGCATCCCTGGGCTTCATGTACCTCCACATCTCGTTCCTGACCACGCTTCTCACGCCATCGCAGCCGACAACAAGGTCGCCTTCGAATTCACTCCCATCGGCGCAATGGACGACAGCTTTATCGGGCAGGGTTTGTACCCGGACGACCTTCTTCCGAGTATGTACTCTCTTCTGCTGCCGGCCAAGGTGCTTGAAAAGGGCATCCAGCACGATCTGGCGGTCAAGAAAGCATAACGGATAGCCATGACTATGTCCGAGTGTCAGCCAGTGCAATAGCGCGGGAACGGGGGGCATCAAACCGTTCGTGCAAGACCTTCACTGCTTCGTTCCGGTATAGGAGGCTCCCATCTGGATTCCAAGCGAACGACCATTCCAACGGCCGGCTCGCAGCACGAATGTCGTCGAAAATGCCGAGCTGATCCAGAACACGGGCGCCATTGGGCAAAATGCCAATGGATGCGCCCACGTGCGGTGCGATCTCGTCGTGCGATTCCAGGACCACACAGTCTACATCGATTCGAAGCAGCGCATGGGCGAGAGTCAGCCCAGCAATGGATCCGCCGACGATGATCACTCGTAGGGGTTGTTCTGGCGTCGGTTCGGCCATGTACTGCAACTTGAGAGTGTATTCAGGTGTCAAAGTGCTTACCATGTTTTGGGACGGAGTTGGAGCGCCAGTCGAGGTCTTATCACTTGGACCCTCGAAGGCGCTGACATGTTGAGTTACACCGTGTCACCACTGGCACCACTGAGGATCGAGCTCTGATTCAATGATGCTGAATCATGCAGGGGCTGTCACCGCTGCGACAATGTGAGAATTACCGTAAAGGAGTCATTGAAAGAACCTGCTGCTGCGGGCTCAAGAGGGCGGGGGAGCGAAACCCACAAGCGTGCATAAGCAGGAAAAGCAAGCAGCGTAACCTGGCCAACGCCGTGACTGGAGCTCATAACATAAATAATAATGTCTGCAGATCTTTTCCTGGTGATCCGGCTGGATACCATTTCCTCCATCACCCTCGAAACCTCACCGCAACCATGAACACGCCTATTTCCCTGGAACGGTATCCGCGCGACGGACCGCCCCAAGTCTGCGGCGCCTTGACGGTCCACCAAGGAGAAGAGGTCTTCACCTGGCGAATGGGCCAGCGTTACTTTTCGTATGTGCGGATGGTAGTCGAAGATGCCCTGGGCGCCGTTTACATTGGCAAATTCAAGCACGAAGTCGGACTGCCGCGCTCCCTGGACGAGCTGGCAGGCATAAAGAGAATCTTTGTTGACGATTACCTCGACCTGAACATGACACGACCCTATTTGATGACGGGCGGCTTATATTTTAAAGCGCCGAACCTCTTTGCTTACGCGGAGAACGGCTTCAGGAAGCGGATGCAGCGGGAGCTTGATGTGTGCGAGTTCTTGCGAACGAGACCTCACCCCCATCTCGCGGCCTACTACGGATATCAGGAGGATAGAGACGGGATCCCTGGACTGTGCTTCAAGCGATACGAATGCACGTTGCTGGAAAAGGTCAACCCTCGGCGGCTTGATCGAAGCTCATTCCGCATGAGCAGCCGCAACCTGGTAACAGCGGATATGAGAGAGCGGTTGGCGGGGATTCGGTCGGCCATCGAGCATCTCCATGCGCACGGGATAGTGCATAACGACGTCAACCCCACGACTATCATGCTAGACGAAAATGGCACTTTTGTTCTGATCAGCTTTGGCAGTTGTCGGAACATCGGGGAGCCCATGGGTAGACCGATCGATGGGATGAGGCAGGCGTATGGGTGGCATGAGAGTTATGCCAGAACGGCGGTCGAGCAGCACGATCTCGATGCGTTTAGGAACTTGGAGGAATGGCTGGTTGGCCCCCGTCTGGCTCGTGGAAACTGTTTCACCCAGCGCATCCCCCGTGGCGCCCTCGGGGCGGAGGCGGGTTGCCACTGTTGTGGCCAGTACCATGCCTATTAGCTAATGCAGGAACCTATATAGTGCTGAATTATACATCAGCACTACCTCTTCTACCTGTCCGCGACGCTCAAAGCGTTTTGGAAAGACGGCGTGCATGGCTCGGGTGCGTTTGCGTGGAGCTTCTCGGATAACTGGGACTTTGGGGACCACTCGCAGCGGTTTGGGCGTCATGTTGTAAATGGGACGAAGCCGGACAGGATATATAAAAGTTTCTTTGATCTTTTGGGCTTTGGGGGAGAAAGAGGCTGGACTAGGTATTGAGGGGAGACGCCCGCGTGGAGGTGAGGGAAGATAACCCTAAGTCTATTGAGTTTTCCCACGATTGCACGATGAGCATCAATGATTGAATTTGGCCGCTATATATAGTTTCAATGCAGGTCATAAGGAGAATATGAGACCATTACAAGATGCATTGGTCGTAGAAATAAATCTTCAGTAGTCTGCTGTGTCTATCCAACCCGGAGATGTATCTAGATAACGTCGTTCTATTGCAACCCCCGCTTCTTCAACTCCTCCCGCACCCGCGGGATGATGTAGCGCCCGTAGTCGATCGCATCGTTGAGGTTGTCGTAGCCTCGTATCGAGATCAGGTCGGCACCAAGCTCAACATAGTCGAGGATCGATTCGGAAACGGTTTCCCAGGATCCAACAAGAGCAGTCGAGGCGCCGCGCGCATTCGTCGCGGTGACGGTCGGATACCACAGGGCGCGGTCCTGGACTTCACCCCGGGACGCAATGTCGAGCAGGCGCTGCGATCCGACGTTTTGAGGTGGAGGTGCATTCGCAGGCGCTTTACCGAGGCCGGCGGCGCGGTGCTTCTGCAGGGCTTCCAGGGTGCGGTGTGCCTTGGCCCAGGCCAGGTCGTCCGTCTCGGCGACGATGGGTCGGAACGTCACCCAGACACGAGGCCGGTCGGTACGCCCTGCCTTCTCTGATTCGGCATAGATGCGATCGATTTGCTCCTTGGTCTCCTTCAAGGGCTCGCCCCACAGACCGAAGATGTCCGCGAGAGAGCCGCCAATGCGGTAGGCTTCGTCACTTGAACCTCCGACCGAGACGGGGACTGTGCCGTTCACCGGTCGAACGCGGTTGCTAAAGCCTTTGAAGGTATAGTAAGGACTCTCCCAGTCGAATGGCTCTGCAGACTCCCAGGCCCGGCGAAGGATCTTGATGTAATCCTCCAACCGACCGTAACGCTGCTCCTTGTTGAGGAAGTCGCCCTCCCTGGCCTGATCGGCATCGCTGCCACCAGCAATAAAATGGACAACGGCGCGACCGGAGCTAAGCTGATCCAGGGTTGCTAGGGCTTTGGCGGCCACCGTCGGGTATAGAGTGTTTGGTCGCAAAGCAATGATGATCTTGATATTTTTGGTGAGCGCGGCGATGGTGGCACCAACCGTCCACGGGTCAAAGTAAGAGCTATCGTAGGGCACGAGCGTGTAGTTATACGCGTAATCATCTAGGTTGCGAGCATAGCGCTCAAGGAATGCCAGGTCAATAGCGGCATTAGGGATCGGATCGATCTCCGTGGAAGGGGTAGGGAAGGTGAGACTGATGAATTCGGTCGGCATCTTGAGCTGGATGACTGCAAAGGATGGAAACCTCGAGGGAGGGGTCAAGCCTCCTTTTGTAACCCCTCCAACCGTCTCCAACTATGATGTGATCGGCTTTGAGGTGCCGTTCTGGCATGATTGCGATGATGCCAGAGATACAGAAAGCACGTCAGCCCGTCATAGGTCAACTGTGAATGACTCGTCGTTCTTCCCCGCGTGATGAATCTTCCGCTCCATCTTCTCTCGCGCCTTGATTACTTTTCGTTTCGTGCCAACGTATCCTTCCATTCCAGCGAGTGTCGCATAGAGCTTGGTCGTCGAAACGCGAGATAAGTCGGCGCCCTGGTCCCGCAAGGCCTGGAAAAACGCATGGAAATTGGACGACCGCGGCCGATAGTGCCCACTGAATCTGTCAGCACTGCCGGCCTACTGCTGATCAATGGACATACCTTAGCGGAGCTAGATCTCGTAGCTTTCCTTGTCGGATCTTTATCAGCCCAGCAGCGGCTATCCGGCCCCCTCGGAGGAAGGAGGAATGCTGAAATGAACCTCGTTTCTTAATCCCAACATACAAGCGATACGACGGGTCTGCAACAAATATCCACCAGTCGTCGCTGCTGAAGAGTCTGTCTTTGATGTGGTTTGCAATGTGTCGTCTGCGATCTGTGAGGCCTCGGGGATGGTCGGCTTGGTCTGACTTGGACACGTCCTTGTCCAGCAACGACCCAGATGCCGACCGTGGTCTTGATCGGAAAATGGATCTGGCGTGGGGACTCTCCTTTCCCGGGGCACTGAGAGTACGAACGGGCAAGATACCGTCTTCGCCATCCTCGTACATAGCATCGTTTGTCCAGACCAGCTCGTTGTTCCTGGCCCAGCGGAACCTACCCTTCTCGTCAACCTTCACCAGGTAGTTAACTCTTTCCTCACGAGAAAGGTAACGCACTTGCTCACGCGCCAGCTTGTCCCTTGGACACGCGGGAAGCTCGACGTCTTTCCCGGCGCCGTAATCCAGCCAGTAAAAGAAGTTCTCGTGAGAATCAGTCGTCTTCCAATGCTCGTGATACTTTCGTAGGTTACTCCCATGGCGATGGTTTGGGTCCATCATCTCGAGGAAATACTGGAGATCCATGGCTTTGCTGACCGTGGCTGGAGCAGGTTTTGTCGGTTTGATCGATGTTTCGCGGCGGCGGCTGTAGCTATCGCCGCGCGCGAGCTTGGCCACATTGACGGCATGACTCCAATTCCGGTGGGCTTGCTCAGCCGGCGAGCGAGCAGGAGACGTCGCAGAATGGTGGCGATCCTGAGACTGGGCTTCCCTGACGGTCTTCAAGGTCAGTTTTCAGGGGCGGCGACAAGGCGGAGCGAGGCATACATCAATCCAACGGTTTGTCGCGGTCAACTGGCGTCCTTGCAACTCTCTTCGGGTGCGATAGCCGCGGTATACTCGCTAGGCATTGTCAATAAACGGACAAGCAGTACTTGTGAGAAGAAGTACCTGGATCAAACACACGGCCGCAACCTGTGAGGCGGTGACGTCATCTTCAGGGCCCGCGTCCCCGCGGTCCAGCTCGGGGTCGGTCATGATGCGGGCTTGAGCTTTGCAGGCAGGAGTCGTCGGTACAGCCCATGAGCACTACGACAGCACTCGGGGGGGAGACATGGTCGGATAACAACAGGGGTGGATGAATGGATTGTTGCTGCCTTGGTCACTTGGTGGGATGCGACCGGCAGCCACTCGCTAGCCAAAAGCGGTTAGTTGCCACGGCGGCTCTCAGGCCCTTAGAAGGCAGCAAGGCAGCAAGGCAGCAAGGCAGCAAGGCTGTCAGGCTGTCAGGCAGAAAGGCCGCGACTCTTCAACTGCCGCCTCCCCGCGGGGTCTCCGCTGCTGCCAGTGCTACCAGTGCTGCCAGTGCTGCCACATGGACTGCGTATTCATCATGATCACCATACCCAAAAAAAGTGACGAATACGCCTTTTTCAACCCACGCTGTCGAAATGGTTGGCTCATTACCCATGCTCAACTGAGGTACGATGTAGACGGATATATAGTTGCTGCTCCCGTTCTGCGAACAGCCAGCCACTTGGAATGCCCAGACTCACTGTTGTCCTTGCTGTTCATCGGCTGAACTCTGCCTCTTCCAAGTTCAGCCAGCCCAGGGTTTGGCCTAAGCTGGAGCAAGCCTCGTGGTCTGGCGAGGATATGTGGGACTCTGATTGGTCGAATCGAGGCCCCGTGCGACTCTTAGCGCCAATGACATGGTCGGGCCGTGCGCATCTCGAGGTATATATTCGTCTGCTGTAGATTCGTTCTGCCGTTCTGGTTGTCCATTCTCATTGATACTCCTCAACCATGAGCGGAATGCCGGAAATGTATCCCCTCGCCCGTGACAGGGCCGAGTCCCATCGGCAAGTGTTCGCCATCTTCGATGGATGGTATCAGAAACTGACCTTAGCAGACTCAACGAGCAGCACAAAGTCCTTGTCGACTTTGTCGAAGGACCTATAGACCAGTCCGTGCCACTGGAGAACATCTCTGCCATTGCTGACGTTGCTACTGGGACCGGGTAAGGAGAGTCCACCGTTCGACCGTGACACCAGCTAACCGGGACACTCAGAATATGGCTCTGGGATGTTAAGAAGTTGCTCGACAAGCATGCAGGCGAGTCTGAGCGGTCGTTCCACGGCTTCGACATCTCCGCAGCGCAATTCCCACCAGCTCTCGAGGGCATCCATCTCAGCGTCCAGGACGTATTCCAGCCGTTCCCCACCGAGCACCACAACCGCTATGACTTGGTCAACGTCAGGCTCCTGGTCACTGCGTTTCCTGAGTCAGAGTATCAGAAGGCCGTCAACAATCTCCTGACCATCTTGAGTACGGTCCCATAGGGTGTCGTGAATCATGCTGACCACAGTCCGTCCAGAGCCCGGAGGCTACCTGCAGTGGGTTGAGATTGACTTCTCAGAGTTGGCGACCGATCACCCTAGAGCTTCACCGGTGACTGACACTTGGCTGAAGTTCTGCGAGATTACAAATATAAGCCAACGCGCTCCAGGCGTGATCCAGAGCGCCTACCAGAACGCTGGGCTTCTGAACATCGTCAACCGACCATTCTCGCCTCGCAATCGACAAGACCTGCTCGAAAGAATCCAAAAGTGGCAAACGGGGTTTTACACCAGCGTGATGCCTCTCATTCTTCTCAAGACCAGAAACGTGGCTGACAGTGACGCGGCGAACAAGAGAGCTGCAGAGATTCTTCGAGACCTGCAGCTCTACTACGCTGAAGGAAATGTTGTCGATACCAGGTTTGGTGTATTGGTTGGGCGGAAGCGAAGTTGAATCTGGATGCCAGTCATTCGACTAGCAAATGTATTCTACCTTGAGGTTGACATAGACGTTGCCTATAGTAGAGCAGCCATCCTGGTAACCATTTGTGGCATAGTGTAATGACCAACACACCGGAAGCATCCTGCGTAGTCCGAATCGGCACGTCAACAGGCTGGCGAGGGTTCAACCAGGTCAAGCTGACGAAGCGGGACTCCCTCTCAACGGCGTCGCAAAAACCCTTTCAATCCCACTTCCTGCTTGAGCCCAGGATTCCTCCGCCCCCGAGCCTATCGTCGACGATCCGTCCGCCCAGCATGCCCCGGCGCAGCTCGACTTTGGTGCCGATGCCGCTGAGCTAGCCCTAGCAGCGAACCGGATTGCTGGTATTGATCTCCCCACACGCCACCTTGACCGTTAGACTTCGGAGATCTTGTGACGGAACCCTGGCGGCACGGTCCTGCATCTGGCGTGTGGATTCAATAGCCGGGTAGAGGGGGTGCGATGGGGGTAGAGATACTGGGTCGAGGTTGATCTTCTCAAGATCAATGAGGTTTGCAGGAGGGTTTATCCCATAAACTTGCCTGGTCGGGATTACACTCTCCAGCTGCTTGGCGTTGACGTTCATGATGACGGCGGGATGCATCAATTCCCCGTGATGGACCCGTTCTCGTCGTGATGGAGGGCTTACTGTGCTATTTACCACAAAAGCAAGTCCATTCGCTGCTCCAAAGGCTATGTCATTACGTTGGGAAAGGCGAAATGATACTCGATTGTATCAACTCAATACACTATGAAGCTGGACAAGACGGAGCCAATACAGACGATTAAGAACATGGACGCCAACTTCCAGTGGTCTCTTGATGACCCCAAAACACTCGAATCCCTCCATTTTGATCTACAGCTGGCGGATCAATACGACTATCAGAGGTCACTGGAATCGAAAAATGTCCTTGCCAATCGGCTACTCATCTACACACTCTCATGGATTCCCGGCGCGCGGGTCGCGGCGATATCTCTGCGTTTCCAGTACCGTAGCTGGTAAATAGACATGCATTATAGATGGCTGGTACTGGGAGCCAAGGAGTCATCCCCAGTCAACGGCTGACGGTGTAAAGAGCGCAGACTACCTTCGCCTTCGTTGATACTGTTGTACGGCGTTTGGCCTGGCCCCAACGACCTCCATTTCCAGAAGTCCAGATAGCCGTTCTGCTTGCCCTCGATGCAATCGACGACATGAGATCCCAGGTTTGGCAGGAATTTGAAGCCGTGGCCACTCCCTCCTGTTGCGACCATCAAACCCTCGACTCCAGGCACAAAGTCAATCACGAAGTGGTTGTCGAACGAGTCGGTGTACCAGCATAACCGGCTCTTGACCTCGCATGAGAGCAGCTCTGGCAGATGCTCTTGGACAAAACCCCGGATGACGTGCGCTGCTGTCGAGGGGAGTTGGCGGGTTGATGGCTCCGTCCACCGCGTGATGGGCACACTCCTGGCCACTCCGTCTTGCTGCTCCTGGGGGTTCGTGAATTTCATCCCCCGGTATCCGATCTTAACAATGCCACTCGGGTCTCGAGCAAAGCCGTACAGACCACCGACTTTTCCATCTCGGATGTCATACCTAAGCGTCGATACATTAGTGCCTGTGTGCCACTGTCCAGTTCTTCACTTACGTCCACGTTGGAAAGTTCTCTGGCGCCAGACGATCCCATAGTGGCGAACCTGGTTGCAATTGGAACATAAACACGCTTCCAGCCGTTGTCTCGCATAGATTGTCGAGTTGAGGAACAAGAGATGGAGTCCACCCTCCGCAAGCCATAATCGTCAACTCTGATGGATGGGACACGCCATCTGCGGTCTTAACACCAGCAATGCGAGAACTTCCGTCATGAAGAAATCCTGCAAACGTTCCTTGGCTGCCTCCGAGTATGAATTCAACACCCAACTGCTCTGCTTTGTGAAGAGCAAAACAGCAAGCTTTATCAGCATACACAAATCCGCCCTGGAGGTCGAGAAGGCCGTGATTCTGGTCGCGCTTGAGGGGGTTGACCGCAAATCCGAACCCATTTGCTGCTGCGCGAGCGACGTGGTCGGGATTGTTGAGGACAACCTGTGTTGCTTCGAGTCCGGCCTTGGTCATGTTCTCGATGGTCTCCTTCTCGAAGTCGGGAAGGGTCTCATGCGAGCTCAGCGTGAGGTTCCCGTTGTTGACAAAGAGCACGTCTTCGGTGGTCAATCCAGCGGGAACATTCTTTCCTGTCTTTAATTCATCGTTCCACTTCTTCCATTCCACAATTGCCTCGAGGGCGAGCGTCTGATATTCGACCTGGGAGCCATAGGCCGCTCGGATGATCTTGTTCGTGTCTGGGCGGGCTGTTAGTTGGTGGCTTGAGAGTCTCACTGGGATCTTTACCGGCGGAGGCAGCATCGCAGCCTTTGGTATATGAGTAGAGAGACTCGTGGTAGGGTTGCTTGTCCAGCACCTTGACATTCGTGTAGCCGCGTTCTGCGAGGTGTATGGCGGTGCTTAAGCCGAAGACACCGGCACCGACGATGACAATAGGCGCGGCTTTGCTTGTAGGCTGAGGCGACATTTCTCGCTCCTTGAATCCAGGGTTGTAATTGATGGAATTGATGCAGAATATATGACATGGATTGTGTCGTCACGCAACGCCGAGCGCAAGAGTGGGCAATTGCAGCTATTGGCTGCTCGTATCTTCCGACCAGCTGGCCAATGGCTTTGCAGTGCGTTATCGAGCTCAGTTGGAGACATGTCACTTTGAAGAAATTAAAATTAATTGCGGATTGTTGTCTCCAACTCGCGAACCTCCAACAGCCCTGAGAATGCCCGATCGACCATAAGATAGCTGTAGGCTAGACAACGAACTTAGCTCTCTCGGTACACCAGTGTGTTTACGGCTATCTCTAACTCGAAGTATCATGCTGGCCATTCCAATCCTCACCACCCTTTACCTCAACAGCGATCCCTTCATGCGTAACAGGCCTCTTATCCTGGCGCCGAGCAGCGTTGAACCAAGACCCTTTAAAGACATCGTCCAGCTCTTCAACGGTCAGACCTGACGTCTCGGGGACCATGAGGTACACAAAGACCAGCGCGATGAAGCACCAGGCACCGAAGAAGATAAAAGCGCCCCAGTTGTTCGTCCGGGCCAGGAGGGATGGTGTTCCGTAAGACATGGCGAACATGAACAGCCAGTGGAAGCATTGGGCGATTGCAGAGCCGAAGGATCGAATGCGGTTGGGCCACAGCTCGCCGCCGAACACGTACGGGAGGATATAGAGCCCTAGAAAGTGTAAGAATCCTGGTACGCGATGTTTGAGGGCTCATGTCTGCTTACCGACCACGTATCCAAGTCCATGGATGAAGATGAACGCAATAGCGCCCGTGGAAGCGGAATGAGGAACGTCGCCCTGTTGATTGTACTTGATGTAGATGCCGATATACAGGTCGGAGATCATCTGAAGGGTTGCTCCTACGAACAAACACTTGCGGCGACCGAGGGCATCGACGAGAAAGAAGGAGGCGATGATGGCGAAGCACATCTTGGCCAGGCTGTACATGCCGCTCAAGAACAGGTTTCTTCCCGTTCCACCGCCGACACCGATCAGGGTCAGGATTGGCACAAAGTAGGACGTAACCGAGTTGGCGCCGGAGAGCTGAGCCAGCCCAAAGGAGACCAGACTTTGCTGGACACGTCGGAGGTTGGAGCGAACAGTAAATGCCTCCCGAAATAGACCCGAGATGCCCTGCTTGTACATGGCCTTTTCCTCCTGGATCGCGCTCCTCATTTCTTGCAGCTCCTGGTGTACACGAGGATTGTCGACAGGAAGACCGCGCAGCTTGACAAGAACATCAACAGCCTCCTCATGCCGATCGACCAGAAGCAGCCACCGCGGCGACTCGGTAACGAAAAAGCTGGCAATGAAGCAGAGGGACATGAAAATGGCAGGCGCGAACCACAAGACCTGGTACTGGAGACTTGTCCCGGCCATATTCTGGTACACACCCAGCACGCAGAAAGCGCCAGTCGTGCCGGCCATGTTCATGGCGACGTTGAACCATGCCGTGAGCATCCCGCGTATCTCGGCGGGGGCGATCTCGACGATTGACATGGGCCCGATCACGGTCAGGGCGCCCATGCCCAGTCCGGAGATGATGCGGGAAGCGTAGAGTCCGGCCAGTGTCGGCGATGCAGTGGCGACAAATTGGCCTAGGATCCATAGAGCAGCATAGAGACGATAGCTCCAGCGACGGCCGAGGATATCATTGAGGAAGAAGGACAGCCCGGCACCAACGCCGGCGCCGACGTAAACGATGGAGACGTAGTTCCTGATTTCGACGGCGCTGTTGCCGGAGTGGAATTGGAAATTGTTCTGGAAGCCAGACAGTGAAGGGATGGAGCCGGATGACCCTTGGTCCCATGCTGTTGGTGATTAGACAGAGCATTACTGCGTTGTAAGTTGTCTGCGTTTCCTCACCAAGTGGTATAGAACAGGTAGCATACAGTGCCGAGGACACCAGCAAAGTAGGGCTCAAGATCACCTCGCGGGGAGCAGCTTTGACAGCCGCCGCATGCTTTGCGAACGATGTGTCGGCGAACAACTTTCCGAATGCCATCTTTGAGGCGAGAAGAAATCAAGGTTCTGTGTATGGTGTCCGTTTAAATGCCTCCAAGCGTCGTCGGGAGAATACAACGAGCTTATCTGATGCAGGGGTCCCTATCAGTCTCCAAGTGCTGCAAGTAGAGAGTCCTGCGAGCCTAAGCAGAGAGTAACCATAATGCCTCCCTTATCTGTATAGATCGACTGGTCTTCACTCTCCATTGTAGTTCGTGCATCAAGACCTACAAAGCCCGCGTCATCTACTATGGAATTAGTGCCCATCTCGAGACTTGCGACCAATCGCATACAGACTATGGTAGGGGTCGTTACTCCAACTCTTATCACAAGGTGACCAGACCTGGCATATCTGCAGATTACCGTCGCCTGGAACCGAGAATGGGGTATGCGTGTAACCGATCGAACGCAGAGATAGGCACCCTGTCAAAGTCTACAGTCACCACGCGTGGGCGAGCAGCTTGAGCTTCTCAAGCTTTGCGATTTCTACTTACGGAAGTGATCCTCAGCGACCGGAATCGAGGCCGGCTGATGGTCTTGACAGGTATGCCTTACCCCCTCTGCTAACAATCGGTGACCCTGATGTTTCAGGCCTGATTTTGCTAACCGGCGACGAGCTGGCCACAGCAGCCAGTTCTGTCCTCGGCCAAGAGCTGATGTTCGAGCATACCTCAGAGTATGGTAATACTTTGGAATTTTTGGAGGTGCGCATCAGCGCTAACTATGCACAGGGACGACACGAGAAAGGTCGTGAAGGCGCATTCTGACAGCGACGAGTCGGAGATCCAGTAGCTTCTCGAGCACTACTCACTTATCAAAGAGGAGAATACAAACTACAACTCCATAACGGCCTTCCATGATGTTACCGGAGGCCATGCAGGAGACCATGGATTTCCTCAAGGTCTCTGCAGAGTCGCCTCATCCGAAACACAGTAATAGGGGGCGTGAGGTGAGCAATAGGAAGCAAGTAGAGATGTTGATCATAATATTGTCATGCTACCTCCCAATCTCCGAGACTTCCAGGTCAGGCCACCCCGGGGTCACCGCCGATGTATATGCATAGTTCCGCCGTGTGCGCGCGGTGTATAGAAGATAAAGATAATGTGATCTAGGTAGGCCGGCTTGCTTGCAGAGTAAAGAAACATTTTCGAGGTGAGGTCGCTCTGGCGGCTCAATTACTACGTACAACGAGGGGCCAAATACTTTTGAAGAGCAGACTATGGTACTAGGTAACGTCCAGTTGCTGATCATTGGTCTGGTGTCTCTTTGCCAGGTTCGGCAGTCGGAAAACTGTCGTCGTGCTGAAGCCCGGCATGTCGCTCTAGAGATGCAATGAATGCGTCTTGATCCTGCGGTGTAGGGCCATCACTTTCGTGAGTCAGTACGGCGCGTATAGATGGAGGACAATCCGCAGAGATCTTACAATGACCAACGCAAGTTTGCACCGCGGACAAATGTGACTAGTTTCATATCATCCTGTTCCTCCTGAGTAAGGCCCATAGCGAGTTCCGTCTCGCGCTCAAGTGCCCCTTCAAACAGCTTGTCATAAGGAAATGTGCATTTAAGTGCGACGAGCTCGAAGAAGCGCGGATAGAACCCTGCATATCCCCAGTCAAGTAGGCACAGTGCCCCGTCGTCTTTGAGTATGAGATTCCGCCGACAGATGTCGCCATGGCACAGAGCCAGGTGGTGCCGTGTCAGATCGATGGTCTTGTCGTCGTAGGCCAGGCGCTTGTTCATGTAGGTATTCATCTCCTCAACAGAATGGAAAGCTGCCTTGGCGCCATCGTCACCATAGATGTATCCCAGTGGGATGCCACCACCGACCGGCCCTGGTTTTGAAGCACGGAGCTGGCCAAGGGATTCGATGATATTCACAATTCGAGGCACAAGGTGTGCCAGCGAATCTCCGGCTACGTCGAGATCCTGTAGATTGCGACCGGGGATATATTCCATGAAGAGGTATCCATACTCTTCCCCAGCCGGGATTCGAGACTGTCGAAAGTAGCGGTAGACCTTTGGCACGTAGACGACGGAAGGGTCAAGGTTTGTGTGGGCAAACTGCTGCGTTGCAGCCTCGGACGCTGTTACACCACGCCCAAGCTTGACAGCCACATGGGCAGCAATCTTCACGACCGCAATGCCCCCTAAGCTTCCGCCAATTCTTCCCTCTTTCTCAAGGACCTTGTGGCATAGCTCGACCAGGGATTCCTCGGGCTCTGTACCAACAGCCCAGTCTGCCATGGTGGAATAGGGATTGATGCCTCCGGGACAAAGAGCGAGCAAGCAATAACCCAGCCATCGGATCATGCTTTCTCCGTTCTGCCCCTCTTTTGCTGGCCAAAAATAGCTAAGCGCCGAGTTTCGGAATGATAGCTGTGTGGCTTAGGTACGGGTTCTGCATACCCTGCCAACCGCAACCCAGTAGAAACCAACCATCGTGATTTCAAGGACAAGTATCAGGGCTATACAACGGCCAGGGCGGTTAGAGTTCGTTTCCAGTCCTTCATTACGTTTATGTTAGCCCAAGATGCCACGGATGTCACCACCGTGTGTTTGCGACTGGCTCTGGATGCCCTATATTGTTACGAACGGACGCCCTTCCTATATGTTTGGTGCACAGTGTCTTACTTGCATGCGCCGAGTACTGGCTCTGGCACTGTGGTCAGCAAGGCTGGTAATAAGGCTTCTTAAAAGCCCAGATTTATCGCATTTCCCTCCTCTCAAGCCCTCTGACATCCTCATCCCATTCCACACAACAGGCTACCAGAATCTGGATTCGATAATCTCTCAGAATGCCTCGACCCATCAACGATAGCGACCGGTCCCTTGTCGTTCAGCAGGTTCGCGTGGTAGTGCATACCATGGGCTACTTCTTTGACGGCGATACACGGAGCGGCAACCACGCCTCCATCTTCCTCGTCACTGGAAGCGAGCAATCCATCCGCCTGAACATAATCAAAGACGGTCCTACGGATACCATGGGAACTCTCCAGATCCAAGTATGTGAGTACGTGAACTCGACCAGCGCGCTACGGAAATGGGACTTTCCCGCTCCTCCTAGTCGGACTGTGGGCCAATTCCTTGACCTACTCGTCTCAAAGGGTCGCCACAGGTATCAGTTGGCCCGCAGTGGTGTGGGGTGTCGCTTTTGGGTGTAAGTCTGTGCTATTTCCATACTTTATTGCCTGAGCTCCGTGCTGCGTGCGTCGGATTCTGACAAGCCTACTGCAGGTCAACAATGATCGAGGACTACGAGAGCGCCAGGTACCTCGTATCAACTGTGACTATGAACGCCGTATCACTGAAAAACGCCCTCCAATACAACTACACCAGGGACCAAGGCCCTGAGTACGAGCCTATGGTCCCAGGAACATTTGTCTAGTCGCCTAGAACAAAGAGGTGTGCCAATTTCAGATTTGCCACGGGAGAGAACAGACTCTTGTAAATACTTTATAGATCATGTCTTATCTATAATGATCTAGTTGGCCTTCTAGGTGGCATGTAACTAAAGAGCACTATATAAGGCCCTTAGGGCCTTGCTAACTTGAATAGAAATGCATTGACTATGTCTATTTCAGGAGTTCCCGGTCAACGGCAATTTTATTACCGTGCTTACTCATCTGCCGCCCAAACCCACCTCCTGCCTAAAAATCAATCTCCACCACCAATAAAAAATAAAGCTTTTTAACACATACAAAAGGTATAAGAACCTAAAATTTTAGTAGTGTATTTTACACTAGCTAATTACTTTATATATAAATTTAAAACTTTTAAAAATACTATAATAGCTAAATCTCGCGGCTTTAATAATTTACTAAGACTAGGGTATTAAAAATAACTTTAGGGCTAGAAAGGGGGAGTTTTTTTTTAAAAAATACTTTTAAAGTTACTAAAGAATTGCTTTTTCCTAGTTTAGCTAATTTAAAGCTATTTTAAAGCTAGTTTTCCGCCTTTTTAGCTATACAGGCCTCCTTTTTTTAATGGTTTTTTTTAGCCTTTTTTTTTTTACTTTAAGCTATTATTTTTTTGTATTTACAGCCTGTAAGGCCTTATTTTTATTAATTTATTTTTTTTTTTTTTGGCTTCCTGCCGGCGTAGCTTATTTTTTTTTTTTATTTTTAATAAGTTATATAGCCTTATTCTTTTATTTTTAAAAATTACAGGCTTGCTAAATTTTTTTAAAAAAATAAAATATTATATTACTATTTTCCGGCTTCTGGAGTTAAAATATAAAAGGCTTTTTTTATTACCGCTTTTTTTTTTATTAATAAGGGTGTTTTTAAGGCCTTAAAACTGCGCTTTAGCTAGTATAAGCTTTATATAAAAGTAGTAAATTATACTCTTAATTTTTTTAAATTTTTTAGGTATAGGGGCCGCTTCCGCATTCTTAATAAGTTATTAAATATTTTTTTAGTTTTTTGCTTTTAATATCTCTACTGGGGGATTAGTTAATATTAAAGTTTTATTTATATTTTTTTTAAATTACTTTAATACACGCTTTGGATCCCAGGGGAATAAGCTAGTTAAATTTTATAAACTTTAAATATTCTTAGGTATTAAGGCCTTTATTTAAGCTAGCTAAAATAGTTTAAAAAAATCTTATTTTAATATAGCGCTAAGGCCTTGGTAAAAATATATAAATATATTTAGTTTATTTATATAAGCTTTAGCAAAAAAAAAAAATCCTAATATTAAAAGGCTATAAAGTATAAATTAAATAAGGTAAATAAATAGCCACAAGGATCTTGTTAGCCTTATAATAATTTAGAAACTTTATTATTATATAAAAGCTATAATTATTAAAAATAAAAAGCCTTTAACGCCTCCTTGCTTAATTCCTTGTTTTTTTATTAAATATATTTTAAAGCCACGTGTATTTAAGCTTATTATTTATTTATTTTAAAAGTAATAAAATAAAGAAATAGTTATAAATATTAGTATTAATATTTTAAAGCCAGGAGTCTTATAGTTTGCTTGCAGTTAACTAATAAATAAAACCTAGTAATAACTATTTTTTATTAATTAATATATAAGTAATAATAATTATTTACTTTTAACTACTATCTTGCAAGCATTGCTTAAAGCTTTTTTTATAAAGTTATAACTTTTTAAAAAAGATTCTTTTACTTTTTATAATTATTTTAATAAAAAATTTTTTTTTATTTATATTATAGGTATTTTTAGGTAGGACCTTATATTTATTAATTTTGCGCTTTAAGTAGTTAAAGTATAAAAAGTATTTATATTTTAAATTAGCCTTTTTTTTTAAAGTATTAATCCTAGTTATATAGGTGCTTATAAATTTATTTTAGTGTTTAGTAAGCTAGCGCGAAACCTAGTTATTTCCTAGCTTTTTTTAAATAATCTTTTTTATAAAGTTTTTAATTATATTATAAAAGTAAAATAAGCCTTTACTAGCCTGTTAATTAATATACTTTATAAAAACTTTTAATTATTAAGTATTAAGTAATAACTAGTTTTTATACTACTTTTTTTTCGTGCCCTAAATACCTTTAAAATATTTAAATAAAGTTATGCGGTTTACACTAAAGTTTTTAATAATATTTATATATAAAAAATATTCTCCTGGCTTTAGGGATTTAAGATATTTTATTACTTTATTTATTAAAATAAAAATAAAAAAGTTATAGCTATTTAAATTTTACAAGTAAATATTAGTATAGATGTAGTTTGGGCGCCAAGTGGGTTTAGGCGGCAGATGAGTAAGCACGGTATTATCTAACAAAGTGTTACTAGAAATAATTAAGTAATATTGTGCCATGCTTACATATTTGCTGTCTGAACCCACCTAATACCTAAATTATATTTATATTAATATATACTTGTAAAATTTACTTGTAAAATTTGATTACCTATAATTTACTTTTTTCAACTTTAATAAAAAAATATATTAAACTATATTAACTTTTTAAAGATATATTATCACTACTATAGTATTATTACTACTATAGTATTATAACTGCGCAGTATTATAATAATGCCATATAGTAGCCTAAGGCTACCTAATAAAAAACTTTAATATTAATCTAGCCGCGCGCCAAGGCAGTGGTTAGTTATATAATATTTAAAATATTAAGTTTAACTTAAAACTTTAACTTAAAAAATTAATAATTAGTTCTTACTATAAATATATTATATATTTTTTATTATAATAATTTATATTTTTTTAAACTTAGTGTAATATTTAAACACGCCTTATAATTTTAATTACTTTTTTTTTAAAAAAAACCTGTTTTATAGAGTAGCTAGGTAATAAACTTAATTTTAAAAACTAGTGAGTAATACTTTAACTATTATTACTGCTATAGTATTATAACTGTGTAGTATTTTAATAATGTAATCCAGCGGCCTAAGGCCGCTTAATAAAGGAACTTTGGTATTAATTTAACCACGCGTTAAGGTAGTAGTTAGTTATATAATATATAAAATATTAAGTTTAACTTAAAACTTTAACTTAAAAAAATTAGTAATTTATTTTTATTATAAATATATAATACTTTTTTATTATAATAATTTATATTTTTTAGGGTTAGTATAATATATAAACATGTTTTATAATTTTAATTATTTTTTTTTTAAAAAAAACTTATTTTATATAATAACTAGGTAATAAACTTAATTCTAAAAGCTAGTAAATAATATTTAAAAAAAAATAATTATAATTTTTAACTTAGTTATTAATTAATATATTTAAAAAAATTATAAACTTTTAACTAAAAAACCCTAAGGGCGTCTCTATTATTAAATTTAAAACTATATAAAAAATATTAAAATATAAAGTACTAGCTTAGGAATAAAAAAATAAAAGTAATAAAAAATTACTAAAAAACTATACGCGGTATTAAATATAATTTTAGTAAAAAAAATTATAAGAGCAAGAATGCTATAAAAAATATTAATAAATTTATACTTAAATTACAAAGGCACGCTAATAAGTTATAATAGCTAAAGCTAACTAATAAATATATAATACCTTTATTTAATTTATTAAGTAATTAATAGTCCCTTATAAAATAAACTTAAACACCCTTATAACTTTTAAAAAGGTTACTAAAAAACTAGTTATGGTGGTAGCTGCGCGCCTTAAAATTTTTTTTAAAAAAAAGAAATTACTATCCGCAAAATTATACTAGGTAAATAATATAAAAAAATTTAATAATTAAAAACTAAATATAAAAATATACTTTAAAACCTTTTTAACCTATTATTTTAATAATAGCCGTAAAATATTCTAGTTTATTAAATTTTTAGTAAAAAACCGCCAATATAAATAGTTTAATATTTAAAAGGTAAATTTTATATTTACCAAAAAAAATCCTTAATATATTAATTAAAATAATTAATAATAAAATAATATTTATTAATAATTTGCTTATTAAATAGGGCAACGCAAGATAGTAATTATAATAAATTATTAAGTAGTTTATAAAATTACTAAATTAAATTAAAAAATATTTACCTTATAAATATAAAAATAACTAGTGCAAGGGGTACTTATATTAAAAAATTTAAAAAATATATAAAAAAAGTCCCTTATTTATAAATATTAAGAACTAAAATCTTATAAAAATTATATATTATATTTAACCAGCGTTAAAAACAACATGCCTTAATAAAAAAAACTATTATAAAAAAATAAGAGTTTTTAAACTAAACTTATACTAAATTCTTAGTAATAAAAGTTAAAATACTATTTACCTTTAAAAAAGGTATAAAAGCAAACACTAGCATAAAATAACCTAGTAATTTAAGTAATACCTTATTTATAAAAAAAAGTTATACCTAGGCAAGTGCCTAAATTATAATTATATTAAATACTTTAAATAATATTACAAGTTACCAGGCAGAGGTTAAAAAAATACTTTTATAATAATACTTTTTAAGTAAATTTAATAATATAAAAAACATAAAACCTTAAAGCTTTGCGTGGTACAACTTTAAAAGTTTATATAAAATAAAAAGTGCGTTGCTATTATTACTGCTATGGTGTTGTAACTGCGTAGTGTTGTAATAACATAATCCAGCGGCCTAAGGCCACCTAGCAAAGAAACTTTAAATTTAATTTAACCGCGCGCCAAGGCGGTGGTTAGTTATATAATATATAAAATATTAAGTTTAACTTAAAACTTTAACTTAAAAAATTAGTAATTAATTTTTACTATAAATATATAATACTTTTTTATTATAATAATTTATATTTTTTTAATTTTAGTATAATATATAAAAGCGCTTTATAGTTTTAATTACCTTTTTTTTAAAAAAAAACCTATTTTATATAATAGCTAAGTAATAAACTTAATTTTAAGGGCTAGTAAATAATATTTTAAAAAAGTAATTATAAACCCTATCTTAATAATTAAC